ACTTACCTTCTAGATGGGCAGACAGACAACATGCTAGTTAAACAGGTTAACAGACTAGTGATAGGTTATGGTAAGAACTGAGGAGGGAACAAAGATGGCTGCCGTGACTGGGAAGTCACTTCAGAGTTCAAGGAAAGTCTGTCTGAGGAATAACATTTCAGCTGAGGCATGAGGGATGTAGATAATCAGCCATGGGAAGAACTGGGGTTGGGGAGAGGTGGGGACAACACAAGTAATAGGACCTGCAAAGGCCCAAAGTGGTGAAGAGGGTGGAGGATCATCAGACAGAAGGAGGCCGTGTGGCTGATGTGGGTGTGAGCACGACCATGTGGGAGGTGAGGACAGCAGGGGCAAGATCACAGAGGGCCTTGAGATGAGAAAACTCCAGGGGTAAGAAGCTATTGAAGAGCTTTAAATGGGGGAATGCCAGGATTTATGTTCAGGAGATACTGCTTTGACTGACATGTGGAGAATGTATTGGAAAGAGCCAGAAATGAGGGAGGGAGATGGTCAGGAAGCTTTTGCAGGGTCCTGGTGGGAGTCTGTGACTTGGTGCCTAGTGGTGGCAGAGACAGATGGAGAAGCAGACAGACTAGAGGCATAATTTTGAGGTAGAACCAGTGGTATTTATGGCTACTTTGGACTAGGGATAGAAAGGGCATAGATAATAAATGGAGTCTTGGTCCAGGTTTGGTTCCTAGTGGGCCCAGTGGTTCCTTATGGTCACCAGTGATCATTCCTCCTGTCCCTGAATGCGCACTTGGAATGGATTAACTTGGCCTGTGGAACAAGGCACTATTGTCACGGGGAAGGCCAAGTGGAAGCCTGAGCAACTGCCTCCCTCTCTCCAGGCAAGAAAGTAAGTCAATAGGAATATTGCAACCCAGTGAGGGTGGCATATGTGAGCGTCACGCTGAAGGACCTAAAGAATGCAGGGGAGGTTATCCCATCATATATATCCCCATCAAAGTCATCAGTCGGGCCCTCACCAAATTTAGATTTGGTCCTGTCATATAACAGTGGACTACCACAGCTTTAACCACTGTCATAGAATTAGCCACAAATGGACTGCTGTGCCAGATGTGGTATTTTTTCTAGAGCTGATTGACAAGGTTCAAGATACAAGGTATAGGATTATGAAGCTAGGAAACGCATTCTTTTCCATCTCTGTCGGAGAGAAAGACCAGAGTAATTCACGCTCACGTGTGACAGACAGCAGTAGCCATCATGCGCAGCCTCCTCCAAGGGCTATGTTAACGCTCTGTTATGATGTAGCCCCAGAAGGCCTGGACTGCCCAGACCCTCCACAGAATCCACACTGATCCACTGTATCCATGATATCCTGTTAATCAGACCAGACAAGCAAGAAGAGGCATGTAAATTGGAGGCCTTAGTAAGATACCTGTGCTCTAGCAGGTGGGAGATAATTACTGTGAATATTCAAAGACACATGTTATCAGTGAAATGTTTAGGAGTCCAGAGGTCTAGAGCGTGCCAGGACATCCCCTCCGAAGGGAAGAGCACTTGATTGCATTTTGCTTCCCCTACCATTAAGAATGAATCACAACAAAGAGCAAGTGTCGTTGGCTTCTGGAGGCAGTCCCAGGAGAATCACTCGCCAGCAGTAGGGCTAGGACTGATGGAGCCGGTCACATGTGCCATGCCGGACTTTAGAACTGCTATGGACAGTGGATACCATGTGCTTGCCCTTTCCCTCCTTTTAAATAGAGAGTATCTACTTCAGTTCTCCTGTGTCCATCCCACCATTTTCTCTTGGGTGTTGGAGGTTGTGAGGAGCCAATGTCTTTTTTGAGTTCCCTGGTCTTTATACTGAGAGAAATAGTGTTCAAGAAGCTCTCCCTATGCAAGCTGGTGCAGCCACTCTGGAAAACTGTATGGAGGTTCCTCAAAAAGTTGAAAATAGAGCTACCATATGATCCAGCAATTGCACTACTGGGT